CTGACAGTTCACATGTACCGTTATATGGAGAAATGAGCATGTACACAGGTGGCACATAGTGTTAGCCATCGAATAAAGTTGAAAACGAAAAATAGATGAAATTTCATGCACAACTTGGAGAGTATCCTTAAATAGCTAAGGTTTCTAATGGTTGTGAGTGAATTATCAACTATCTACGGTGTTAGTTGAGGCCATTATGACTTGGTGCTCATTGGGATGCATTGCAGTGTTTAATGCGTGATAGAGAATGGTAATCAGCAAAGGTGGGGCAGACGTCGCCAGTTCTTTTTCACTAATGTTTGATCGTTTATTTTAAATGATACTATACTGGCTATTATAATTACCTAGTGTATTTTTTCTTGGCTGTTAGGCAAGAAAATCTGTTAGGCAAGACTCTATTAAACGACATACGACAGTACATTCAATTTAACTCACTCGGTAGCTGCAATTGAGTTAGTGTTTTGTTAATATTTTTTGGCTCACATTTGCTCTCCTGCACGGCTTATCATATGTATTCGTTTATCATAAATTATTTAGCGTAATTATTGTAGTCGGCCATCGTATTAACTCTGCGTTTATTTATTTCAGGCTGTCGGAGAGCATGCAAGCCGTGGAGAGGTTTCGTAAATTGGTTCGGTAGCACCGGCTGCTAGCGCGCGGCGGCTTGTTACCGCGGGACGGTAAGCCTTCGGGATCTCTCCCACAGGAAATGTAGCCTTTTGGATCTTTCCTGTAGGAGAAGTTCACTCTGAAGGATCACTGCCGTAGTAAGTTCAGTCGGGATAACGTTTTCTGAAAGGAAGGGCAACTCGTTGGATGTCTCCCACAGGAAGTGACACATGTAGGATCTCTCCCACAGGAAGTGACACATGTAGGATCTCTCCCACAAGAAGTGCATCCTGTGGGATCTCTCCCATGGAAAGTGCAGCCTGTAGGATCTCTTCAACAGGAAGTGCAACTTGTGGGATATCTCCAACAGGAAATGCAACTTGTGAAATCTCTCCCATGGGAAGTGCAACCTGTGGAATCTCTCCCATGGGAAGTGCAACCTGTAGGATCTCTTCAACAGGAAGTGCAACTTGTGGGATATCTCCAACAGGAAGTGCAACCTGTAGGATATATCGCATGGAAAGTGACACGTGTAGGATCTTTTCTGCAGGATGTTGAACCAGTAGGATTTTCTCCATAGAAAGTTTCATCTCTAGGGTCGCTTCCACACGATCGGCAGTCTCACTCACTGGATGTCTGCTTTTGGGCTTAATGCACTTAATGTAGTTGCTATTTGGACCATTGCTATCATATCGATCCTCTGTGGCATTTCCTGTGGTGTATACCTAACATCCCCCCCCCCCAGTGCCCAGATAGCATAACGGCAAACAACGCTGTCACCTGCTAACTAGGTAGGAGGTGTGGATGGGGAAGGGGGGGACATTGAACCGATTGAGAGAGTTAACAGCTTTTGCAACATTACATTATGCTGCTGTATTGCTAGGTTCACACTGGCGATTTTTTGTCATAAAATCGAGAAATTGACGCGATTTTCAGCGATTTTTCAATTTCCCAACTCAAAATCGCTAATGTTGAGAAGTTGAAAAATTGAAAAATTGCTGTGTCTGCTTGATTTTGTCTGACACTTTGTCATGAAATCATAAAAGCGCTGCGCGCCGATTGGCCAGTTCCTACGTGTAAAAATAGTTTCGCGTCATCTCTGTCACGGCAGCACATGATACAGAAAATGGCGCCCGCCGATAAGATATAGAAGAACTGATTGAGTTGTTTGAGGCACGCACGCTCATGCGATTCTACAAGCTGCATCTGACTATGTCAGATGAGCTAAAAATCATGTTAGGGTTATTTATGATTATTAGCTAAGCTTATTTTTTAATTTTACTCCAAAATCTAGGGGCAAAATCTTCTAATAGTTTAGAGGTCAATTATGAGGTCATAATGGCCATCTGCTATGCTGTAGACAAACCAGTAACAGTTCTAAGCAGTATGGATGAAGAAGAGGCATTATCCCTGATAATCATAGCCTGTATTATTAAAAAGAAAAAGAAGAAAAAAGAGGACAGTTTGGACAAGGCCGTGGATAGCCAGGCGTGATGAATGCAGAGCATTCAGTCATGTACACGCCACAAACAATCCTTCTTGTCCGGCCGTGCGTCCGTGCGTCCGTCAACGGTTGGGCACAAATCTAAACGGCTCAACTTACGGATTCGAAAGTTGGGACGTGGGGGATAATCCGAAAACGAGTTGGGATGTTGAAGGTGAGGCTCAAAGGTCAAAGGTCAAGAGGTGTAAAAGAAGGGGGAACATTCCCTCCTTAACTTAAGGTATAGGGAGGAAATTCAGAATTGCGGCACAAATCTAAACGGCTCGACCTAGGCTTGTGATAGTCGGTGTATAGCATCATGGTAGGAAAAGCCATCACTATGCCGAAATTGGAGGTCAAAGGTCAATGGGGCAGAGGGCAAATTTTAGACATTTTCTGAGGACATGGTCTGACGGAGCGATTGGAAAACTTTTTTGTTTCAGCGGTGACCTAGCATTTTTATGGCTTTATTGAAAGGACCATGAAATGTACTTTCTGCTGACATGCAAAGAGTAAGTGTCAGATAACCTTTTGACCCTCAAGAGGAGGGTTAAACATGGATTTGTTTACTGTTAGAAAGAATTTGACTGCCGGGTTTGCTATTAGAATCTATACATGCCTGGATGTATGAGGCTACAATGTCACAGTGAAATTTCACAAGCTAAATTTGGTTGAAGAAGGTTTATGCTTCTTAAATCGTAGAATTTCTATGGCATTCTGCACTGTCAGTGTGTTACTTATGCCACTGCCAGTGGCTACTGCCAGTGCATGTGGTGGTGATAGTACAGAGTAGTTTTTGCCTGTGTTAATTAGTTACAGGTGGCACCTCTCTATTTCAGCCTGTAGGCTTGTGTAGGTAAATGGATGAGTGCTTACTTATTCTG